CATATATATATATACACACACACACATACACACACACACACACACACACACACACACACATATTTTTTTTTTTCTGCCAAGAGGCTCAGTGACCAGGATAGGGCAGGTTGAGCTCTTTTTAAAAATCTTGTTTCTACAAGCATGTACCGATAAAAAATTATTTAAATAAAATCTTGTTTCTAAAGTTAAAGTAGCAGAAGATTCACTACATAATAATAAAGGAGCAATTGGGTGGGTGCCACCTAGTGGACAGAAGAGAAATCAGAGAAAAGGAAAAACACCCTTAGATCTTTCCTGAAAAGGGGATTACTCCCCACCACAGGCTCCTGTTGAAGCATGAAGCCTCAACCAAGATAGTCATGCAACAGTGGCAAACCAGGTAAACTCCTTGGTGCCAAGAGAGCACCATGGCTTCTGGGGCAACAAAAGAAGCCTTAGAATCTAGACTCACATAGACAAATCCTAACTTGAATACTAGGGCTATTTAATGAAATTCTCAACTCTTGGCCAAGATCATACTTTTCAGCCAGAGTTCTTCCTAAATCCCTGCAATCAAACACTTGGAGAACTGTTCTGATGCTCACGCTTCTCAGAATGCACCTCATACTTCATACCTAATGCTCCACGTGGTGCATTTCACACCTAAGACTGGATTTTTGAATGTAATGGGTTCAAGAAGGATTTGGAATGAAAGAATACATCTAATAAGAGAAGTCACTGTACTTAGGCCATCAGTTATCACTCACCATGCTATGGTTCAAGAGGTGACACTTTTAATGACCTGCCCAAGGCCACTACGGTGATGAAAGGCTCTCATGGAGAAGATGAAATTTAACTACTGCACATTTCCAAGGAATTAAAAAATGCAACCAATACAGAGTCCATGATAAGACTCCTTTGCTGATCACTATAAGGAAACTGAGAAAGTGAAAAAGGACTAAAAATTTTATGGCACCAACTATAAAAATCCAAATTCAATATATTCCCTGGAAAGGCATAATTTACTGAATAAGTAAGTTCCCGATTTATAGGCAGAGTGCAGAAACAAGAGACTAATACTTTAAGGAGAAGTAATGTGTAGGAGAATCTGATGTGTAAATTCTAGGACCAGTTCTTGTCTCTTGGATCTCCTCTTAGTAAGAAAGCACAATTTTTTTTTTTTTTCCTGAGACAGAGTCTTGCTATGTAGTTCAGGCTGGCCTTGAATTCACTATGTAGCCCACACTGGCTCAAACTCACAGCATTCCTCCTGCCTCAGCCTCCCAAGGGGGCTGGGATTACAGGCATGCGCCACCAGGCTTGGCTCTATGCTTGAATCTTAATGAGAAAGTTTCTGGAGGCACCTTTGACTATAGAAGGCAGACGTGTAGAGTTAAGGTAGGTGTCTTCATCAGTGGCCAAAGTCAGTAAGTATACATGAGGTTTTAGATACGAAGGGAACAAATGGGAAATAAGAAGCATGTTTAACAAATAGCAAAAAGTTGTGTTTAGCAAGCAAGTGAGGAAATAGTGCAATATGATGAAAACCTAATGTCCAAATAACTTCCTCATCAACACTGGGCAACTACTGGGCTGAAATCACTCAAGCAGAGCTTCTACTATACCTGATAAGCATGTTGCATTTCTCCAACTAGACAGTTTTGCTAAAAAATATACTTATAATCAGAACATACCTCTTTGATAATGGTAAATATCCAGCCTCTCATTTACTGCCTCTAAAGTTTCCTTTTTTCTACTCTGAAGAGATATGCCAATTTAAGGACATTTGTGCTTAAAGGAATGAAATGGTTGCTGAAGCCAACTTGCAGCTTTTGTTTAGATCTAGAATTTCAGAGGCTCCTAGGGAAAGTACATTTCTGGGGAGCAGGGGGCTTGAGTATATACTTTGAAGTCAACGTCTAGGGTTTGAACTTTGGCTCTGTCACTATAACGTCTTAAATAATTTTTAAAAACAATTAAGAATAAAGATCTTCTATACAACACATGTTTAAAGCATTGGAAGCAAAGTAAATCTTGCTGTCATATTGAAGGATCTTAAGTCCCTTGAGTCTCCACTTCTCGAGTTTTGAGAGCTTAAAAAATTCTGGGCACAGTGGCTGCAATCACCTGTAAACACCTGTAATCCCCGCACCCTGGGAGGCTAAGGGAGAAGAATCACAAGTTCAAGCCCAGTCTAGGCAACTTAGTGAGACCCTGTCTCAAAATGAAGTATTTGGTGGGGGCAGACATGGGTAAGTGTGAAGGCTCTGGGCTCCACCGCCAGTGGGTGGGGTGTGTAAGACACAGGATAGAATGCACCTTTCCTATGCCTGTTACCTCAGTACTAGGGAGGTAGGGGCAGGAGGATCACAAGTTCAAGGCCAGGCTGAGCTATGCAGTGAGACTCTATCTCAAAAAAACACATACCTTTCTTGATAAAACATGCATTCTGAATCTGAGAAGCCTAAAAACTGTTTACTAAAGTGTTCCTTTTCTGTGTATGAATCATCTGTGTTGAGTTTTCCAGCCTTGGTACCAAAAGAGAAAGACTGAAAACTCCATCAGGAAGGACAGGAAAAGTTAGTTATGACAACCACAACAGGTGCAATATATGATATTGGAGTCCACATATGCCACTTCCTTCTGCCACCTGAGAGCCATGCTTAAGATGTCAAAGCAGCCATTCATGGTAATGCATGCCTTAGTAGTCCCACCAGTTAGGGAGGCTGAGGCAGGAGGATCACAAGTTTGAGTCCTGTCTGGGCAACTTAGTAAGACCCTGTCTCAAAAATAAATATATAAATGAATAACTAGGCCTCAGTGTGCCTCAGTGGTAGACAGAGTACCCTGATAGATTCAATCACCAGTAGCAGGGAGGAAAAAATGTCAAAGCAACAATTTTGTTCCCAACAGAGACACATTAAATGAGCCCCAACACTCAAAGACATCTTGCATTACTACAGATTTACTAAGTAGCAAAAAAAAAAAAAAAAAAGATTTACCTAATTAGATAAAAGGGAAAGCAGGAAAATGTTGAAGAAAAAATAAATTAGACAACATTGGAGTCAATAAAACACTGAAAATCCAAAGAAACAATTTTTTAAAAAAGGAAAGTGCTCGTTCTCTGGGGGAAATTATTAAAAACATAGAGAGGTTATATTGTCAATGAGAAGCAGGAAGGTTGTGTTGCACTGAGATGTTGCAGATAACTGTTAAGAGCTGGGCAAACAGTAAGTATTAATGACTGTATTTGACCAAAAAAATTTCTCCCAGAAATTTCTCTAAATGATTAAAATTTAGGGTATACAGAAAAACACTCATGACTTAGTAATTTAAGGACACCTTTTCTAATGCTTCCTACTGAAAAAGATTAAGAAATTAAGACAGTATGACAGTTATGAATTTCCTTCATCAAAATAGCAGCAATCTACCAGAAATCATTACTATTACATGAAAATTAATACTGCTACTAAACTAAACAGATTAATTCATACTTGTTTTTTTCTGATAGAAATTCCTAAGAATATTTTTTTCTATTTAAAGCAAAACTGCTATGAATTAAAATCCTCAATAAATAGAAAGCAATTTCTTGAGCAGAAATTGAGAGCTGGTGGAAGATTAAAAGTTTGGTTACATTGTTGAAAATATGAAATAGAGTCCTGCTTGTTAAAATGTTGATAATGAGACTATAATGTCAAGGAAGACTACTAAACTGCAGAAAACCCAGCTAAAATCAGTAAGAATAGAAACCAACAGGATAAAAGAAGGAGGGAAAGAGAAAAGAGGTCTGGTTAGTGTACATTTGCAGTAGAACTCAGTGCAGAGCCGAGGCACAAGAAAGGAACTTATACCAGAGACCAATACAAGAATGGATGCTATGAACTTACAAATTAGGAAATAATTTGATTTCTACTTTCACTGTCAACTAGTCTTTGTTGGTATTTCTAACTAACAGAATGGAAGTAAATTCCTGCACTGTAAGATGACACTTCTCTTAAAGGAAAAGGCCACTTTGCCCTGAGTAGGGCTACAAGACAGGCTTGAGCATTATGATCTTTCACTTCTAGAGAGAAACACACATAAAACTAGAGTAACCAAAGATGCCTAGCAATCTGTTAGTCTCTTTATTAGAACAAAGAGCAGCCTGGTTCTACATCACTTAAGTAAAAAAAAAAATGTCTTTTAAAATGTTAATTTACAGGGGGATGAAGGGAGAGGAAATACCCCAAAGTTGCATTTAATGTTCATCACTTGGGTCATAATAAACCTCTAAATGAACAATAATGGTGGGAAATGATGGAAATACAGAAGTATTAGGCTACAATTATCATACATGACAAGATCTTTCAAGTACCGTATTTCTCAAAAAAATAACTACAAGTGCCCTATCAAAAAGCAGCACAAAACTACATAAATTAGGAAGTGAAGCAATATGGCAAAGCAGATCAGCTCTTCTAAAATAAAGGGAAACAGGGCCAGGGATTTAGCTCAGTGGTTCCGCCGCCTGCCTCTCATGTGCAAGGACCCAAGTTCGATCCCCGGTACCAAAGAATAAATAAATAAATTAATTAATTAATTAAAGGGAAACATATGAAGGAAGGTAAAAAAGAAAGCCAAGAATTTACATAGAAACTATGGACTGGAAGTCAAGACGCCTGCATCTGGTCATATCACCTGGGGAAAACGAACTATTCACTCATCTACACTACAGAATGGACACAATGCATATCTGGCCCATCTCAAAAGGCTTCACTGCATCAAATAGAGTACTAAAACGTTAAAGTACTTTGAAAATTCTAAATGGTATTATTAAGTTGTCCTTCACTTTCCAAAGAAACATGTAACAGCATTAATATAACTTTCTTCTTGTTTAGTCAATATCTAGCTACTGGTCCTAGCAAAAGAGACATCAACCCTCAACCTCTGGTCTCAGTTTTCTAAAAGGAAAATCCTTTGTATTTACTTTATCTTTTTCTCTAATATTCAAGAGACGCAACTGAAAGGCTTTTCTGTATTCTTACCTTTGGAAGCTGCAGAAACAAAGGGCCAGGAAGGAGACAGCATCAGATATTGGAAAGAAATAGAAGAAAGAAAAGCAATCACACATAGTTCTTTGTTATTGCAGACAACCCCTCCAACCCTTGCTCATTAAGTTACTTGAGGCTAAAGATGGCATTTTGAGGCAGTGCCCGAATCCACCCAAGGGTGTCATCAAAATGGCCCCAAATGGAACTTCTGGCACTTTAATCTCATACTTCCACAAGTCATATTTGACACAGAATACCTAGAGGAAACAGTTCTCTTTCCCAACTCCAATAATCCCATAGTACAAAAACATTGTTCTAAATGGAAAAATACATCTCTTCTACCCAACACTCCCTACCCCAACCCCTATGTCGAGAAGGGAAGAGGATGGGAAGCCTAAAGGATATTCTAAGCCTTACACTAGACATTGGCATTATAGAGGAAGTACTCACTTTTGGTCTGGGCAGAAAAGGTATGGCTAAGTCTGGCAAAAAGTTCATTATTCTCATAACGGTCCTCTTTCACCTTTGTCCAGAAGCAGTCCTGGGAAAGATCCTCAGCCACAAACTATGGATATGGACAGAATGTTAAAGGTAACTAAGCCAAACCCAGTAATTTTCTTAGAAAACTGATTAAGATGCAAAAGAGGTAACTGGCTGGTTATTAATATTTTACCAGAGTCAGACTAACCTAAGACACAAACACCAGCTAGGAGTGATGGGTGCATGCCTGTAATCCCAGAACTCGAGGCTGAGGCAGGAGGATAGCTGTGAGTTCAAGGCCAGCCTGAACTACATAATGAGACCCTGTCTCAAAAAAAAAGGACACAAACACCTATGCTTTTTTGTGGTGGGATCAGGAGATGAGGCTGCCAGTTTCTTTACCGATGATTAATCAAGAACTAGATTTAATTATGATGGTCGTCCTCTTTCTAACACAAAATCTAACTTTAGAAGTATGAAGGCTTTATTTCACATCTTCCCTTGCTCTACATATTTTACATTAATTTGGCTAACTGTATTTTAACTGAGTTTCTGGAAGCAAAACTGACTCCAAATCTCAGATACATCTTGGGCATATTTGTATGGAGTTTGTAACACTCATCCTGAAGAGTGGGACTCCATCAGCACAATTTCAAATCATTTTCAGACTGTGAAATGACTACTGTAAAACTATATTTTACCATGGTACTCATATCCACAGAGAAAAGACAAAAAAACCATTAACTCGAGAGTTTAGTTGGGATAAATTCAGAGTACAGTGCCCACAAAACTCTCCAAAGTAATATCAGAAATCCAAGAGATGTTGAATAAACATAAAATGAGAGGAAGTTTGAGACAGACAGATCCAAGCCATAAGGAAGGAAAGCCCATCCATGCACAAAATACAAAGTAGGAAACTTAAGTTGTTTCTTAAGATCTGTGATGGAGATGGACAGAAACTCTTACCTTGGACCAGTTTGGCCTCCGGAGCTGCACCTCTGGCTTATAAACCTTTTTAGGAGTTAATCCAAATGGCAGAACTGGGGCTGCAGGAACTCCAAATCCAAAAGGGGGAGGTGGAGGCATACCCATTCCAGCTGGAGGTGGAGGAATGCCAGGACCTCCAGGAAATGGAAGGGGTGGAGGAATTCCAGGACCACCAAGAAGAGGTGGCGGGGGAGGTGGTATTCCCACTCCTCCGGGCAAGGGAGGAGGTGGGGGGATGCCAGCACCCCCAGGCAAAGGAGGTGGTGGGGGAATGGAAGTACTTCCAGACAAGGGAGGAGGTGGGGGGATAGAAGTACTTCCGGGCAAAGGAGGGGGTGGAGGGATGTAAGTAATTCCAGGCAAAGGAGGGGGTGAGGGGATGGAAGTACTTCTAGGCAAAGGAGGGGGTGGGGGAATGGAGGTACTTCCAGGCAAAGGAGGTGGGGGGGGGGTGTCCATAGCCCCTGGCAAAGGAGGGGGTGGAGGGATGCCAGTACCTGCAGGCATAGAAGAGGGTGTGGGGATGCAAACATTACCAGGCAAAGGGCAAGTTGGAAGATTAGAACCAACTCCAGGAAGGGGAGGAGGAGGTGGGGGTAGATTAACAGTGCCAGAGGCACCAGGTAGAGGAGGGGCAGGGGGAACAGTAGTACTACTAAGAACAGAAGGAGCTACAGCAACAGCTGCAGCAGACAGAGTAGCTATTTCTTTCTTGGCATCTTCCAGTTCTTTTGACAGCTTGGCAACCTGCAGAAACAACACTGATGTGAGTATATCCCACTTCAGGGACTACTAGGACTGGAAGAAACCTGAGAAATACTCAATCCAAACTTCTCATTTTACACATAAGAGAGACTGGAAGTAGTTAGACAGATCACATGATTTGTCTAAAGTCTTACTACTATTTAGTGCTGGAACTAAAACTACAAGTCAAGTCTTCATGTTCTTAGTTCAGTATGCTTTGTATTAAAAAAGACAAATTCTTGGGGCCGGGGATTTAGCTCAATGGTGTCACTGCCTGCCTCAAAAGGGCAAAGACCTGAGTCCGATCTCCAGTACCAAAAAAAAAAAAAAAAGACAAATTCAATCTCTATATTATATTCTTCCTTCCATTAGAGAATGTAAAGGTCAAGTAAATAAAATATTCTAGTTATGTAACTAACAATGTGCTATCTGGGTAATTATATAATCACATAAGTGATCAAACTGTAAGATAACATGGATTATTTAAACATAACTGCAGAGAGTGCAAGAAGATCTGTCCACAGATGATTACAATAAGGGAAAATTAGCAAATAAGTAAACAATTTGGTTTTAACCCCTAAATTTATTAGTAGTTTATTACTTTTATTTCTAGGTAGTAATGAATAACTCATTTTTTGCTTTCCTGTATTTTCTAAATTTCTTACATATTATTTACTTCCACAGCAAAAGTAAAAACAATGATTTTTAAAATATACACCATCTAACTAGATAACCTATTACCCACCCCTCTCCAGAAGTGAGGCAACTGAGTCCTGTTCTAAGACGCTTGCAGATGGCAGTTATGGGCACTCTGCCTTCCCTTCTCAGACAGTTACCTCTCCTGTGAGCTGGGACATCTCTGTTTCCAGGTCCTGTTTCTCTACGGCAATTTGTTGCTTTTCAGAATCCAATGCATCCTTTTCTCCCTGAAGATTCTGAAGTTTCTGTTCAAAGTCACTTTCCATCTTTTTCATTTCCACTTGTAGCTCATGTCGGGCTGTTAACTCTGAGTCCAGCTAAAGAAGAAAGGAATCAGACTCCCAGCAAGCTCTCCCTTCCAGTAAGAAGCACAAGTGTTATTACCCTACTTTACCATTTTGTGTCAATGTTTGCTCTATAGATCCACAACTTAGGCAGTGCCTCAGAAAAAGAGAACCATGATTTTTGACCTTAAAATCTAAGTTAAAGGAGAGGAGAAAAAAAAATTCTTTTCACGGTCTTCCTACTTAGAAAAAAAAAATGTTTGAAACACCTTTCAACTAGGACAGCTATGGTACAATCCCAGCAGTCACTAGGATCAAAAATCTATCAACCACAATGGAAGTCCTTATTAATAATCAAAGAGAAAAAGAGAGCCCAGACATATTACAGTTCCTACTGTTGTAGGGATAAGAGATATGAGATGTCAAGCAAACCTGGGAATGCCACCATCATTATATGTCATCTGCTTTCTTGTCCTGTCTGGTAGCCCAAGAACTGTATGAGCCCACCTCCAACTCATGTTTACACCTGTATTACCCTCTCTAACCTATATTTCAAAATATCATAGACAGGGCTGGGGATGTAGCTCAGTGACGCTGCGCCTGCCTGGCAAGTGCAAGGTCCTCAGTTCAATCCCTGGTACCTCCAAAAAAAAAAAAAAATCATAGACAAAAAGTCTTACCAGAAAAATAATTGTTAGACAAAAAAAAAAAAAAAGAAAGAAAGAAAGAAAGAAAGAAAGAAAGAAAGAAAGAAAAATGGGGGGGAGGGTGTTGGAGATCAAACCCAGGGCCTTGCGCATGCTAGGCAAGCACCCTACCACTGATTTCTCATACACACCTTTTTTTCTAGCTCTGTAGCTTTGGCTTCAGATTTCTCCACCTTTGTTTTATCAATCATTTGATCTGAAAAGAAAAGGTAAGTGAAGTTATCAGTTCTCTTAGTCTTTCCTCTCATTCCTAAGCCTTTCAATCTATTGATCAGCAGTCATCTGTCCTTGTGGTTATTTATATTATCCTGCTTAATATTCTGCACTAGACCAAGAGATGGAACTTTCAGTTAAGTTCAACCTACAATTTCTAAATGCAAGGTAGGGTTACCATATTGGGTGGCATTAAGAACACCTATGAGTAATACTTATGACTCTGGAGCCAGCAGGAGTCACAAATATAAGCATTCCTTATTTTTTTTAATTTTTTAAATTTTTTTGGTACCAGGGATCAAACTCGGGTCCTTGCACTTGCAAGGCAAGAGACGGAACCACTGAGCTAAATCCCTGGCCTGGCATTCCTTATTTAATGACCACATTCTGTTACTGTGATGAGGTCACTAATTGAACTGGTCAAAAAATAAGGAACTGACTATACTATGTACAGTACAATATTCAGAACAAAGAAATAGCCAAAGAAAACTCCAACTTGACGAGTTTCCTTTTATTTGCACAACTCTTACATGCAATACTATAATGTATAACAATATAAAACTACAGGAAGTAAAAGCAGCAAATAAACAGATGAAAAAATGTTCAACATCACTGGTCATTCGTGAGATGCCTATGAAAACAACACTGATATTCCACCTCACTCCAGAAAGAATGGCTGCTATCAAGAAATCAACCAATAAGAAATGCTGGTGGGGGTGTGGGGAGAAAGAAACCCTTCTCCATTGTTGGTGGGAGTGCAGATTGGTGCAACCACTGTGGAAATCAGTATGGAGATATCTCAAACAACTAGGATTAGAAGTCCCATTTGACCCAGCTATTCCCCTGCTGGGTATCTTCACAAAAGAACTGAAAGAGTCAAACCACAGCGATATATGAGCACCCATGTTTATAGCCTCACAGTTTGTAATAGCTAAAGCTTGGAAACCACCCAAGTGCCCATCAACTGGAGACTAGATAAAGAAGATGTGGGTTTTTTTAATAAAATGGAGTACTACTCAGCCATAAAGAATGACAAACTAGAGACATTTATAGCTAAATGGATGCACATTGAGGCCATACTCTTAAGTGAAATAAATAGGACACATGTGTAAATACTGAATAGTTTCTCTGGTATGAGAAACTGAAAGTGTAAATAAGGATTAAAATGATTAAAACAAATAACTGATAATGTGAAATAGGAAGAAAAGGTAGGGGAAAGGAAAGAAGGGAAAGGAAAAGATATGCAAAAAGGAAAAAATGGAAACAAAGTCTTTGTAAATAGGGAGGGGTGGTGGAGTTGAAGGGAGGGCAGAAGAATGGGGAAAAAATAAGAACCAAGGTGCATCATGTAAAGGAACAGGTTTCCAGTGATAAATGTAAATGTATTGTATACCTAAAATGTACCAATAAAAGAATTTAAGAAGGGCCGGGGATTTAGCTCAGTAGTTTGGTTTTGCTGCCTGCTGCACAAGCGCAAGGACCCAAGTTCGATCCCCAGTACCAAAAAAAAAAGAATTTAAGAAAAAATAAAATAAAAAATAAAACTACAGTACTATACAGTACAATCAGCAAAAATTGCAGTATGAACAAGGTGTACTGTACAAAAAAAAGGACACTGAAGCTCTATAAACAAGATATATAAAACTACACAAAAAAATGATGAGGGGCCGGGGATTTAGCTCAGTGGTTCCAGCGCCTGCCTTGCAAGCTTAAGGACCTGAGTTCGATCCCCAGTACCACAAAAAAAAATGATGAGTTGTAACAGTGCGCCTCAGGTGTGTCTGAACAGTTGTTAAATAGGCAGGTCATTAAATGAGGAATATCTGTAATAGATGAAGTCCCTACCAGAAGGTGGCATGTGAGAAAGAACAGATTTTTAGATTTAAGTAGAAATAAACTTAAGGACTATATATTCCTATATTGGGGACTAAAATGATTTCTTTTAGATTTATGCAGAAATAAACTAAAGGACTATATATGCCTATATCTGGGACTAGAAAGGATATAGTCCTTAAGTGAAAGAAATGGTAAATGTTTTGAGAAAACTAATAGAAGAGTATATGCTTACCAATCAATCCTTCAATATCAATCTGGAGGTGCCGGCACTTGAAGTCAGGATCAGCCCCATTCTTATGAAGAACTATCTGGGAAATACATTCCTCAATCAACTTATAGTACTGTGGCCTGTGGAAAAAACAAAACAGAATTATCAGAGGGAAATCAAAATATAAGAAGTATTCAGAGTCAAGGAAACTTAACTGCTTTGCCAATAAAGGATAAGTGTTCTGGAAAATAACTTTTTGTAAAGTTAACAGAGGTAGCACTGTCACGCTAAGAAAGTCCACATCTTCCACCCTTTCTACTTTTGATAGTCAAAAATTCTTATGGGCTGGAGACTTAGCTCAGTGGTAGAGCATGTGCTTAGCATGTGTGAGGCCCTTGGATCAATCCCCTAGCACTGCCACAAAAGGGAAAAAAAAATTTTTTTTGCCACCCACTTCCTAGTGCCAATTCTTTCCCATTTAAATGTCTGGGGACTTGATCCTTCCTATGATGGATAGTGCTACTGCTGAATCTTCACTTTCAGAGAAGCAGAAAGAATTTTAAATCGTCACTTCCCTTTGTTATCATCCTCCCTTACTTGCTCCTTTTAGGGAAGGGCCTTTCACTATATACTCTGACCTCCTCCATAGGAACACCTATCAGTTGGATTAAAAGAACAAATGACAACTTCCTTTGTATCTGTGACTAATGAACTCTAATCTATGGACTTTGTCTTTTCTTTTTCCCTTTATAAAAAACACTTCGAATTTAAGGATTCTACTTTCCTCATGCAGGCTCAAATTCAAAGTTTCCTACAGGCTTACCATCTTACCTAGCCTCATAGTCATTTCGGACCAACAGCAGGTGCTGTAGGATGGACAGGAAGTGTGGCTCTGCCTTTGAGTCCTTCACAGTGTTTAAGAGAATTTGGAAGACTTCACTAAAGTCAGTGGAAAGAGGAATAGGTTAAGGAAAGAAAATGGTTAGAAACTGTGTTTTACTGGTGACTTATTCAACTCTGGGAGACTAAGGAAAAGTAGTAAGATGCCACCTCCATTCCAATGGTTGTCTCTCCATAAACATCACAAGAAACTTTTAAGTTTCTTTAGCCAAGGGTGAGACAGGATTCCTAGTACTTGGCTTGAAGATAAGCAGTACACTAAAACTAAAACTACAGGGCTGGGGATTTAGCTCAGTGGTTCCACCACCTGCCTCACAAGCAGACAGACCCAAGTTCGATCCCCGGTACCAAAAAAAAAACAAACAAAAAACTAAAACTATAACTGCCTCAAAGTCACTTTCGGGAAATATTAATAGGTAACCATATTAGTACCTCAGTCAGTCCAGTCTTCTCTAAAACCAAGCTGTACATTGCTGTAAGCTAAGCTATGATGTCCCAGGAAGTTTATATCGATTTTTGACGGCTACTTGGATCATATTTATCAACTTCCTTGGTCAATGCTGATGAATAAAGCCAAAAGCAATAAAAAGACACCTGCTTTATTAACCAGGAAGACACATAAGCCTGATGCTCTGTTCTGAGTCATTATCTCCCACACCATTCCATACAGGGGACTGTAACTGAGTGCAATGAATGCCTCATCTGTCTTACACCCAGTCAGAAAAAGGATATTCCATCTCCATACGAATGTCATCCAGCCGTCCCTTTAGATCATAGGAATCTTCTTCTGCTTGTTCATCAAACACAGTTAGCTGCACTTTCATATCATCATTTTCAATCTCTCGAAGGTCCTGTCAATGACCAAAGTAAAAGTTACAGAACCCAAAGGTGTCTTACGTGGCTAGAAACCCAAACCTTTCTACATGGTTTTTATACTGCAAATCAGTTATCCCTAGGATGATTAGGGCTATAAGAACTGGAAGGAATGGGCCAGACTTTCTAATGAAGTGTTATTGCTTACCTGCAACACCTGGTGCAGCCCCAAGCGCATCAGTTCACTTCTGATGTGAACTCGGAAGTCAAGTTCTTCAGCTGGAGTGATGAGAGCATTGATCAGCTGTAGACATCCCACCTAAAAAAAGAAAATCAGCAGCTGTGTCAACACTAACTCCTACAGATGAAGATTCCATTCTCTTTACATAATTCTGGGGCTCCCAAATGAAACTAAAAGGTAACAGTACAAAAACTATAGGAATGATTTTTCTACTACAACAGTGACCTGGTTTGAACACAGGTCTGGAGAGCTCAGAAGTGTAAATGATTCCAAGGATCTGACAGAAAATGATATTGTACAACACTGGTTTTCCTAACATGCAGATAGATATGCCTTTTTCCATTTCATGAGGAAAACAGTTCATTCTTTCCCTTCTTAAAGAAAAATATAGTCATTTTTCCATTCAGAACAAATTCTCAATATAAAATAAACAATTGGGAAGCACTATACATGTTCCATTAAAAGGTCAGAAGAACTTAGGTCTATCTTGAATTCTATTTTTGGGTTGAGTTTTGAGGTGCACACATGCCTTGACTGCAATGGAGGTCCCACTTTTTAATCCATCCAACAGAGGCTGAAAACGTTCCACTTCATCCATCTCGGCCCTTTCTGTCATTGCCTCCAAAACTCGTTCATTCCTGCCCAAGGAAAAGGAAAGGGAGGGTACTGCCCAGGTCCTCTGGCAGACATATACAATAGGTGGGTTATAGGGGGGACAAACCAGTTAGGAAAACAGTAAAAAAAAAATTTTTTTTTTTTTTTGGTTTTTCGAGACAGGGTCTCGCTATGTAGCCCAGGATGGCCTCAAACTTACAGTGATACTTCTGCCTCAGCCTTCTAAGTGCAAGTGCTGCGATTGCAGGCATATGCCACCATGCCTGGCTAGGAAACAGTATATTAACAATGCTTCAGAGTTCTCAAATTATTTCCCACCACCCCCTAGAACAGGAGCCAGGATCTGTGAAAAACTACAGACCATCTCTTCAGAAAAATGTATTTCCTAAAAGCCATTTCTAGACTCCTAACTACAGATACTAAATTAAAGACCCCTGTGCTATGAAATAATAAACTGGTTCAACTTTTTGAGAGGTATTTAATAATATACTGATTTCTAATGCACATAATATTTGGCTTACTTCTAGAAATCTATCTAAAAATGTATAAAGGTGAAAGTAGATACATACAGAGATATTTGTTACATCGTTTGTGATAGTAAAAATTCTTATTACCTAGAGCAAATGCCAGTATCTGCTAAAGTCTACATAGAAATCTAGCAATGGTGAAACTGTTAAATGAATTATGGATCTATCATACATACAAAATTCTAGGAGCTGGGGATTTAGCTCAGTCGTGCCACCGCCTGCCTCTCAAGCTCAAGATCCTAAGTTTAATCCCTGGTACAAAAAAAAAACCTGCCTCAAAATTCTAAATAGCCACTAAAGATAATGAGGTCAATCTCTAAGGACAGAAAAAAAGATGTCCAAAATCTACTGTTAGATGAAAAGAATGAAACAAGTTGAAAAAAATGAATGGTATGGCCAGGCAAGGTGGTACACACCTGGAATCTCAGCATTCAGGAGGCTGGGGGAGGATGACTGCAAGCTCAAGGACAGCCTGGGATACATAGTAAGTTCAAGGCCAGCCTAAACTACATAGTGATACCCTGTCTCAAAAAAAAGGAATGAATGGTGTGATTTAGCTTTTGTTAGACTAGACCCCTCCACAAAAATAAAAATCTATCTTACATGTGCAGTTAGTTTTATAGGCAAAAGCCATCATTAGTTATCTCTAACATATCATCTTTTATGGTACTACACGATGTCTTAGAATCAAGGGAACACAGTGTTTGTACTTAGAAAAACATCTACTGAGACTGTATCAGGCCAATAATAGTGGTCATCTCTGTGCAAGAGGATCTGGCAAAAGCAGTTAAATTTGTTTTGTTTTTTTTTTTGGTACTGGGGATCGAACTCCGGTCCTTGTGCTTTTGAGGCAAGTGTCAGAACCACTGAGCTAAATCCTCAGCCCTAAAAGCAATTAAATTTTATCATATATATTTTTATATTGTTTGAATTTTAATGATGTTGTGTTACTTCTGAATTAAAAAACAAAACAGTAAAAAAAAATTCTTGTCCTAGACAAAAGAAAGATCAATGGAGATGTAACAAATATCCTGCTATACCCATGATGATTAGTGGTACACTTTCATCACCTAGGAATTTTTCTTAAATACAGGCTATCTCTCACCCAAAATGCTTGATACCTTATTTCAGATTGCACTTCTTTTTTTAAATTTTGGAATATTTGCATATAATGAGTTATCTTGAGGATAAGATGCAAACCTAAACACAATTCAATTCTGTTTCAGATACACTTTATACATATAGGCTAAAGGTCATTTCTTTTTTTTTTTTCCAGTACGGGAAATAGAACTCAGGACCTTGTGATTGCCAGGCAGGCTCGGTGCCACTGAGCTACATTCCTGCCCCTAGGCTAAAGGCAATTCATATATTTTAAATAATTTTGTCCAGAAAGCAAAGTTTCACAGTATGGAGTTTTCTACTTGGGGTATCATGATGGTGCTGAAAACGTTTCAGTTTGGAGCATTTTGAACTTTTGGATTAGGGATGCTAACCTGTATTAAGATTCTCAGTGGTCTTGCCTAATATTTAAGGATCAGGAGGATACCTAAGCAACTCAATCTTCTAGACTAAGACAAGATGGTAGAAATGAGAATAGAGAAGAGAAATAACTAGTCACATACATGTCCTCTGGCTGTGGTAGGATACAGAGAGCAGAAAGCAGCTTAGCTGCATCAATCATCATGCTGGGAACTCCAGGATCCATGGCTCTGACCAGCAATAGGATTCCTTCTTCGGCCTCCAACATGGTCTTGATTCCAAACTGTTAGGAGAACAAAGAAGGGAGGTTTAAAGACATCACCACCTAATCAGAGACAAGTTTATGGGTTTTTATAGGCTGAATGGTACACTTCTCAAATTCACGTTATAGCTTAACCTGCAGGACCCTGGAATGTGAACTTATTTGGAAATAAAGTCATTGAAGGTGTGATTAGTTAAATTACAGTGAATTCACATTGGCATGCCAGTGAGGTTCCAGAAACTAGGAGAGAGGCATGAAACATATTCTCCCCCATAGCCTTCAGAACCAACTCTGCTAACACCTACTCGGACTTCTCCACTTCAACTTCTACTCTGCAGAACTGAGAAAGAATAAATTTCTGGTGTTTCAGACACCCAGTTTGTGATACTCTAGTAAACTAACACAGAGGTAGAATACTTTTCCCAATATGGATAAACAAAAATGAACATAGCAAAACAATTTTCTAGGAGACAAAATAAAATTCCATATCCTCCAAGAATAAAAATCTATGACTTTTATATTTCTTTTTAATATTCTCCCCAATCCAATGGAATAAGTTAATTATAAAAAACAATGAAGGTAAATTTGTACTCAGAAGCATACAATTATGGGCTCCCCGAGTTTAATAAACAGACCAAAAAAAAAAAAAAAAAAAAAAGATGAAAAGATTCTAAAGGAGGAACAGTCTAGAAGGAGAAAATAAGGAGTGAATATAGTTAGCCTCCCCAAAACAGTAAATACAGGGCAGGAAATTTAAAAATTAGCAAAAGCATGTAAAGAAAAAGGAAAAAAATTGAGCCTACTATGGGAAACAGAAATCAGAACTGGGGAAAAAGGTCTGTGGAACCGCCTACGCACGGCAATGAAGAACAATTACAGTATTAAAAAACAAAGCTAAATGTCTTGAACTCTTATTTATATTTCCTTTTTGGAGTCTTCCAACAGAAGATAAAGAAAGGGAGTCCAGACAGGGACCAAAATGAGAATGGAAAAAATCTCACCTTGTTGTTCATAAAAGCTTTCAAGCAGCGAATAATCTCATGCTGGTTCCGGCTATCATAGCTTCTGCAAGTAAAAGACATAATTGGTAAAGTTCCCTTTATTCTACACCCCTTTCCCAGTTGACTTTTCAATCTTGCAAAAAAGGATCTTAGGAAGACCACCAACAAGCAGCTGAGTAAAGTCTAACACATAGCACTTGACTTAGAAACACTGACAAAAAAAAGAAGGCTGGCAAGGGATCCCCACTATCAAAGACCTTTGACTAATTCTCCTGTAATCCAATAATTTAGTATTACATTAAAACCTGTTATTTAACTCCCTCTAGGCTCCTAAATGCTAAATTCTACAAGAACAACATCTATTACTATTTGCTTTTAAGTCTAAGAAGGTACACGAAGGAGGTCCAGGCTCTGTAATGTTCTTGTCTCAGAAAGATTCTAGGAGGTAGAGGAAGTCACCTTGGTTCAGCCTATCTTCAAGATAACCTAAGTACGAGGTATTCTCAGAATTATTTCAACTCTGAAGGCTGCAGGAGAAATAGCCCCAAACTAAGTATATTCTAAGACTTTCAAATGCAATTTGACCCAGACTAGATCATCGGGCAGCTCTGTGTGAAATCAGATCTGATTTCCAGACTGAAACAGAACCCTGGAAGACTAATAATCTCATGTGGTATACATCCCATGTTATCCAATATGAAATTTAAGCTCTTCCTCCCTTTCCTATGTCTATAATTGTTGGGAGCAATGCTACATAATTCTAGGGAAAAATCATTTGGTTAGCCTAGTTCTCTTGCCTACAGCCCAGCTACAGAATAACTCCAGTTTGGCCTCCGGTCACAACTGAGACTTCAGTGATCCAGTGATGCTGTGATTCTCCAGGACAAGAAACATCCTGGGAGAACAAACATCTGCTCAGTTCCTCATTGTTCTTGGACTGATTAACATCTTGTTTGCCGGAGATGTACTGAACTCTCTGCAAGCCTTCCGTTACACCTTGTTTATCCCAATGTGAACTGTTGAACTCTCTGCAAGTCATCTGTTACATTTGTTTCTCCCGATGTACTGAATAAAAGGTGCGGTAAGCTGGGGGCTTTTGTCTTTGCTGCCCAGAGCAGCACTGATCAGACCCAAAGCTCAGCTTCTTCTCGGTCTCATTTTTCTACCTTTCCTGTAATTCGCCGTGTGCTGCCGTGGCTCGCAGGAGACCAGGACTAACTGCAGAGGTTCTGGTAACGTCCCCTTCCCCTGTCCCCTACATATAATCATCATTCACTCTCTGGTCACCCTATATAAACCCCATTCTCAGCTAACAGTCAACTCCCCTAGTTTGTAACTTTACATTTAACTGGGTTGTTTTGTTTGGTTTTGATTTTTTGGAGATGGGGGTCTCCAAGCTGGCTTTGAACTCATTATGTATCCCAGACTGCCCTCAAACTCACAGCATCTTCTTGACTCAGCCTCCTCCTGAGTCCTGGGATTGCAGATGTGAGTCACCATGCCTGACTACATTTAACTGTTAGCATTTCCTTTACTGCAAAGAGCCAAGCCCCCTACAACCCTCCACCTAGAAGATGCAAAGACATGGAATTTCTCACCCAGGAGTCTCTTCTTTTTCATCATGAAGTCGTTTGAGGATGTCTAATAAAGAAGCCAGGCCTTCGGCACCAAATGTTTGTACCCAACTATAAGGAAGAGAGAAACAATGTAATATCAAATCAATAATTATTATTTGTTTATGTATATAGTTTATCAAGTCAACTCTTTATTCCCAACTCGGTTCATTCTCATACTTCCCTGGCTCTTTTGATCTTCAATCACGACTGAACTCCAACACTGGATTCCTACTCATGTTACCTTCTTAGGAGTTCTTACCTGACAGGGTTGTTGTTGAGAGAGACACGAAGGGACTCCAAGCAGCTGAGCAGAGGCATATCCCGCAAGCCTGACCTCAACTCCTGAATGTACATCATGGCAGACCTAGAACTCTCCTTTTGGCTCATGCCCTACAGAGGAAACATGTAGAGATTAGTAAACATTAGGCCCAGCCACAAACTGGGGACTAACAGTTTAAATAATATCAGGGCAGACATCCACCATAAAGACCATCAAACCATGAGACTCAGACGTGCTCATCCCATTCCCCATATGTCATAAAAGTTTAAGTCATGTAAAAAGTATGTAAGAATGGTAACTCAAATATTAGAACAGAAAATTAGTAGGCTAATATAATGGAATAAAACAGAATTGATGTAGCCATAACACATTATATAAAACTTTCAAAATAAACAGGTCCAAGATAGGTGCACAGTCTCCCACGTCAAGGGTACCTGCCCCAGGACTCACAGCCTTGGAGGTGTGTAAGTACTGGGACACCATCTCCCTCTTGATAACAATGTCCTTCTCCCTCAAAGGTTGTTGTTTCTCCTCATTCAGGTTCATATCCAGCTAGCAGATGGGGGGGGGGGGGGGGGGGGAGAAAGAACAAAATTACCTTGAATTCCTTAAATTTTTAGTGTTTTTACAGAATACTTAGAGATAAGTTGAGCACAGTAAGTAATTACTGAATAGATGTTTTATTGATTCCTAAAGATTTAAGCTATGATAGCTGACCAAAATTCCTCAGGGATAAGTGACTAACATTTTAGTTTAAATCCCTATAGAGGCTGTGTGAGTGGGCGTGTGCATGTGTGCATGTGTACTCAGGGCCCAATGCAAGCTAAGTATGCACTCTACCACTGAGCTATTTCTTTTTTTTTTGGTACTGGGAATCAAACTCGGGACCTTGCGCTTGCAAGGCAGGTGGTGGAACCACTGAGCTAAATCCCTGGCCCTCACTGAGCTATTTCATTAGCCTACTACAGACATTTTTATACATATATACTCTTAAGAAAAACTGACTCAATATAAATGAACAATTTCTTCAGTATTAAAGAAAGAAAAACACATAATTTTTTTGTTTGTTTTGTGATACTGGGGATTGAACCCAGGGAATGCTGAGTTATATCCCTGGCTCTTTTTACTGTGAGACAGGGTCTGCTAAGTTGCCCAGGCTGGCCTTGAACTTGTGATCCTACTGCCTTAGTCTCCCAGGTAGGTGGAATTATAGGCATCTGCCACCATACCCAGCTCATACAATATTTTTTTGCATTGAAGATAGATCTTAAACATCTCTTCAGACTGAAGGACTGGATAACTGGTATCATCCAAACACCAGTAAAATCTATACCAACTCTAGGGCCTAATAAACACATTTTGGTTATCACAATGTATTCTCCTCACTCTGTTTTACACTGAGGGCAGCAAAGTCAGTCACATAGCTGTATACTTCATAATTCAACTGACTTAAGACACAATCTTTTTTTTTTTTTTGGTACCGGGGATCAAACTTGGGACCTTGCGCTTGCGAGGCAGGTGGTGGAACCACTGAGCCAAATCCCTGGCTCTTAAGACACAATCTTTAACAGTCTTCTAGTATTTCAACATCAGCATTCTCTTCTAGATTCACTACTAAGTAGAGGACCCTGGGCAAATGATGCCTTTCTATTGCTCAGTTTCTTTTTTTTTTTTGGTACCAGGAATTGAACTCAGGTCCTTGCACTTGCGCAGCAGGAGGCAAAACCACTGAGCTAATTCCCCAGCCCTGTTTCTTTTTTATATGTATAGAATTCACTGTAAATGCTTCATCACTTTACCTACGCTGGCTTAATCCAAAGGTGATCTCAGGCTACCTACCATTAGTCCCACACTCCTACCATGTCTTTGTGGCTAAAGTATTGCTGTACAAAAGAACATTAACAAGGTGATCAGTGATCAGATGTTTGCAAGCTTCATAGATTTCAAGCCTGAAGACTGGTACTTACATAGTCCCTTATTAAGTGGGATCAAAAGTTTCACATTAAGCCTAGAATTCCTTCTAATAAAGGGCTAGTTAAGGGGAACTGTTCATTAAAACAAAAAGGCCTTGGCACCATGCCTATAAATGGATTTTCAGGAAGAAACCACATTTTGGGGAGGGAAACTTACCAGCATCTGTTCAAAGAGAACTAGAACTTGCTCATCTGAAATATCTTGCAATGACTGTGCCATAGGATCATCCCCATATGATGCAGAAGAATTTCTATGAGCAGAATTGGGCTTTTCTTTCTCCTTCTTAATTCTCATGCTGGTAAATCTCTCCAGCTGTGAAAGAAAAAAGTATTAGCAATGACCCATTTTTATTTACACAACAAACTACATATCAAATAACCAACCCTTTAATCTCTTATGCATGCATAGTTTCTTTGGTTCAAGAGCAGTTCAAGACTCTTCTGATATGAAAGAAGAAATCAGTCTTCCACACATCTAATTTAGCACTCTGACTCCATACTTTCATATACATCTTTTTTAAAGATAAGAGGATTGAAGCACTAAGATTTCAACCTCTATAAAAAAGATAGCTTTGTTCTTGATTTCCCCTCCCATTTCTAAGCTGTCTAGCAGCATAGAATTGCAAGTATCTTATGTACAAAGCTATCCCAATAAAATGCCCGTAGATTCCTTATAATAGGTACCTAATAATAAATGTGGCCAGGCCCTGAAAGGGTCTCTCCCTTCCACAGGTAAGTATGATCACAGATTTTAAGATGTATGTCACATAGCATAAATAAGCAAATGCCTTAAAACTAGGAACCATTCTTCCTTTTTGTACCCTCGACGGCATTTGGGTTAGGAAGGGAACAAAAGTTTAACACATGTTCTTCAAAGTCTCCTTTGAGTAACATCTATCTATAGTCAGCAAAGAATATGATGTACTTCAGAAGTACACATTCTCTCTCTCTACCAATTAAATGGTAAGGAACTATTCCTCAAATTTCAAGTATAGATGCTCAAATTAAAATGAGACACCTAAAAGCTATAGTTTACCAGCCCACCCGTTTGAAAATAACATTAACAATCCGGAAGTATTGTGGGGCTTCAAGTGATATGAATGCCATTCAGACTCTAAGTCAGTTTGGAGTTTAAAAGACTGTTTCTAACTTTGCAAGTTAATGAATGTGCCAGGGAAATGCATGCAATGGATTAACCACAAAGAGTTAGGAAAAGGCCTTGCTCTCAGACAAGATCCCCTATAAGCATTACAAATTAAAGAAAGTTAAAACAATAGAAACTGGTTAATGTTACAGTATAGGCAATGAGCTAAAACATGCACATGCCAAACAAAATTTCCTTACCTCATCTGCCATGAGCCGCTTCAAAGTCTAGGAAACACGAAAAGGAGGGAGAAGAAAGATCAATGAAATGCTAAGAACTTCCCAAACCCAGATGGGTTGCGGGGGAAAAAAGGAAAAGAAAATAAATGAAATGACCAAGCTATTTTCTACAAGCTGAAAGATTTCTGCCTAAATACTGTTTAGCACATTCCCTCCGGAAAGGGAGAGGACGAGATAGAAGGACACTAGCCTAACACTCAAGAGAAAAAAAAAAAAAAAAGCGAGGAACTAAACCCACTCTAAATTCAATGACCACAAAACTTTTGAAATGTGCACAATTTCATTAAATAAATAAGGAAATGAAAACTAAAATCACAGTGAGATATAAATTTGCACTCTCAAATTTGGCAAAATCTATCATGTCTCTGGGTGTAGAGCAACAGGGGTTCTTGAAAACTGCTCTGGCCACTTAGAAGAACAAAATGGCATTATCTAGTAAAGTGAAATGTGCATATATACTAAACTCAACACATCAGTTTCTACGTATCTGCAATGCTAAATGTGCACATGTGTAGCAGGATATGTGGAATGAGTGTTCATAGTCATGCTATAACATAAAAAACAGAACAATCCAAACAGCCATCAATGTAAAATGGACAAATAAATTAGTATATTGATATAATGGAAAATAATTATGGAAAGAAAGTAAATTTATAACTATTCATAAACAGTAATACTGATTATTGTTCCACATTCATTGAGGTTAAAAACACGTTAAGCTTGTACTTTATGATTTAGGGTGTAAAACTGTAAAGGGAATGATTACTACAAATGTACAGTGCTTACTTGGGATGAATGGAAGAACTGTGAAGGGAGAGGGGACAATGGAGCTTCTGAGGTGCTCACAATGTTCTGATTCTTGACAAGGATGGTGATTATATGGGCATTCAGTTTATAATTACTGTGTTTTATATTATCTTTTTTTTTTGGTATTGGGGATCAAACTTGGGACCTTGCACTTGCAAGGCAGGTGCCAGAACCACTGAGCTAAATCCCCAGCCCTTATCTTTTTTTAATATAAATTACATTAAGTCTCAATGAGCAGGTCCAGGAAGTGGGATTTTTTTTTCTTCCCCCTACTTAATTTTAAATCATCTTTTTTCTTCATGTTCATGGCAAAGTTTAGTAAATGCCTGCTAACTAACCTTTCTCAACTAATGAAAAACCAGTTCTGCCACTTCCATGAAGCCATTTTTCTAGCCTTTTTATGAACAGGAAAAAAACTGCGTCATTACACTCATATTCCCCACATCACAATTCAGTTAAATCCAATGTCAACTATGAATCTTTACTTTGTCTTCCGTCATCCTGAAAAGATCAAACTTCTGTTAGAGTTAGCCTTGAAATCACAGTGTGTACTGAGGAAGGCTAACTCCAACAGACCCTACAGGAAAGTTCCTCAACTGGATAGGTACCTTTCTTTGTTTCCACAGTAATAGATAACCTGCTGGTCTCAGAACAGTAACACTGAATTATACTGGCCTTTTGATTGTCTGCCTCATCCACTCACTTCAAGATTAAGTTCTCCGAGGGCAGAGCCTGAGACAGTCATTCTTATTGCCTATGAACAGATACAACAATCTGAGGCAGCTTTCCTAAAATGCTAATCCCCAAATGTAAATTCCCAGGGAAGCTCTCAAAGTCTTCTCCACCTCTTCATTGTTTCAGTGAAGAAACTGACACCCAGACAGGTGAGGTAAATCATCAGTTACATGAACAGAAGCTGAGTTGGGTATGGAACTCGAGTCTCCACATTTGAAAGCCCAAAAATCTGCATCCCCCAAATTCTTCTGCACTGCTCCTATTTCATGCTACTAACTCTGGATTCTAGATAAGAATAAAGACACATTTTCATAAGAAGGAAGATACCAGTTTTCCTTGCATTCATGGGCTATCATTAGAGATATATCTGATCCTTTAAAAAAAATTATCCATATGTTAGTGCTCAATTTGGAATAAGGATTGCCAGTGATCCATGCAGAATAAAACCTGCATTTTCTGAACTAGTCCAACAGAGGGCACCAACAACCAACAGTGAATCAAAGTACTGGCAAAAACTTGTTTCAGAACCTAATAAAACACCCAAACAGAGCCAGGGATTTAGGTCAGTGGTTCCGCTGCCTGCCTCGCAAGCACAAGGTCCCCAATTCGATCCCCGGTACCCCCCCAAAAAAGATAAAAAACCCACCCAAACAGCAAGCTTAATTACTGAAATGGAAACCTGTTGCTACAGTATATTTAGGGCATACAGTTTACTTATTTAATACTGTGTACATTTTGCTTACAGATTCTATACGTTGAGTATACAAATGGCTTTCTGTTCAATTTTTTAAAAATTGTATTATTAGTTTTATGGATTCTGAGATACGAAACAAGAAGTTTCTAGATCATGAGCAGTAAAACAACTAAAAATAGTGGTTTCCAGGAAGATGGAAGGTACTGAAGTATTTATGCTTTATGCATCAGACATCCAAACTCTTTTTATAGTCTCTAATCATCTTACCTACCTTCAAATGCTTCCACTCTTACAATTCTTGTTTGCCTTTCTCTTCTGTCTCCAAACCAAACCCATCTTATCACAGCTCACTTCCTGTCCCTCCTATGGAGTCTTCCACTAAATACTACCATTAAAACCCTTTACAACAAATATTGACACTAAATTAAATTTTTTAACACATCAAAATCTGGTTCATGAATACAGATTAAATTTACAGAAAAGGGTTATTTTTTTAAGAAAGGAATAATGGATAGAAAGAGCCTACAAGGTCAGGACGAACAAAAAAAGAGGAACTCCAATTAAAATTTGAAGCTGAGGCAATAGAAGGACTAGTTATTTAACCCAAAGATACAGAAAAAAATCTTAAATAGCAAAGTACAGTAACCAGCCCAAATTATTACACTGATGGACCTGTTTAGGCTCAGGAATTAAGTGATGTCAAATATCTATGGAAATGAGGGGCAGAGGAAGGGGAAGCTATAAGAATAGGAGAAAGCTGTTGAAGAAGTAGACATACCTCAAAACTCCACCATACCATTAGAAATGACCCTGTCTTCCTCCAGCAGAAGTCTGAAAGTTTATTCTCAGAAAAAGTTAAAACAGAGGGTATCTGGATTGGATGATTCCAGGCATAGTTGTGGGCAAAGGATCGTACAAGAAAAAGATGAGTAAGTAAACCTATCCCTATTATATTACTGAGATATCCAGTACTTTTCTCCACCAGTGTCTCAGACTCCAGAAAACTGACCTTTAGTCTTGTGACAGAAGGCTGGGAGAATCTTCTCTAGAGAATCAAAATATGACCCAATGCTACATAGTCTAAGATTATTCTAGCTCAGCTGTCCAATATGGTAGCCACTGGGCATATGTAACTACTGAGCACTTTTAATGTGATTAGTGCAAGTAAGGTAGAGATGTAATTTTATCTTTTTAAGTTTAAACACTAGTATTTTATCATTACCATTAAGTTTAAGTATGCAAGAACACACCTTAAGTATATGAATCTACTTTTTTATTTATTTATTTTTTTTGGTACCGGAGATCGAAATCAGGACCTTGCGCTTTCGAGGCAGGCGGCAGAACCACTGAGCTAAATCTCCGGCCCAAATCTACTTTTTTATTTGTAAATTTTATGGAATCTAAATATAGATCAAGTATTATGAAAATTTAGCATCTGGACTGAGAATAGAGAACTTGTCCAACTTCACAAATATTTACCAAAAAAAAAACCCAAAACCCTACAGCTAGGTTTGGTTCTCAAACCAAACCATTACTGTCCCAGTCTATGCTATCACAAGGATGTCCACTCTCACCATTCCTTTTTCATTTTCCTAGCTAATGGACTAAGAAAAGAAAATAGAAGATATATGGACTGAGAACAAATACAATTATTTTTGCTTGCAGATGACATGATTGTCCGTTTTTGTGGGTTTTTTTGTACCAGGGATTGAACTCGGGTCCTTGTGCTTGCGCAGCAAGCAGCGAAACCACTGAGCTAAATCCTCGGCATGACATGATTTTCTATACAGAAAATATGAAAGCGCCAGGGATTTAGCTCAGTGGTTCTGCTGCCTGCCCTGAGAGCGCAAGGTCCCAAGTTTGATCCCCAGTACCAAAAAAAAGGAAATATGAAAGAATGAACAAAAAAACTAGAATAAGCAATTATACAAAGGATGCAGGACATAAAGATAATATACAAAAGTCAATGAATCACTTTCTTACATATCAGCAATGGGCAAATGGAATATGAAATTAAAAACACAACTACCAACAAAACAAAACAAAATCAATGTTATGGTTTGAATCTAAAATGTCCCCCAAAAGGCTTGTTATTAAAAGCGTGGTCCCCAATGCAACAATATTGAGGGGTGGGGCTTTTGGGAAGTGATTAGATGATGAGGGTCCTAACTTTATCAATGGTTTAAACCACTGATGAATTCATAGCTAAATAGGCTTTTAGGAGGTAGAGTCTAATTCAGTGATGGTGAACCTTTCAGAGCTTTCAATGATAACATTTGGCTGTGGCACACGTGCCATAAGTTCACCACCACTGGCCTAGCTAAAGGGAGTAGGTCAAGAGGCATGATTTTGAGGACCATTTCTTGTCCTGAGTCCCTTTCTCTCTGGCTCTTTCCTTCTCTGCTTCCTGGCTGGCATGAAGTTAGCAGTTTTCCTCTATCGTGCCCTTCCGAAATGATTCTGCCTCACCAGGGACCCAGAAGCAATGGAGCCAAGTGACCAGGGACTAACCCAGGCATCTCTGAAATCATGAGCCAAAATAAACCTTTTCTTCTTTAAGCTGTTTACGTCAGGTACTTTGTCACAGTGACAAAAAGCTAACACAGCCATTAATGCTGTATCCCCAAAATGAAATACTTGGGTATAAATCTAACAAAATATGTACAAAATAAAACTATAAAACCAAATGAACTAGCTAAATGGAGAGATATTTCATATTCATTGACAGGAGGTCTCAATATGTCAAGATGTT